CCCCTAACGCCACTGGAGTTAAAAAAAATTTATCTAGTTAGGGCAAAACTAGCCCATAATTACTAAAAACAACGCTGCCAATTTTCAAAAAAATCGGTGAGAAGATATTTGAATTATTTAAAAAAAAACGTTATTTTAAAAAAATCTTTAACACCCTGTATCTTGGAAAAAATGCATTTCCGGACCTATGTTTATGGGAACTTTTTTCCATAAAATGACCTGAGGAATCACTCCCTCAAATATTGCCGCGTCTTTTTTAAACATCCTGTATATTAATTTTTTTTCTTTTCTCGCCTTTGGTGCCTATAAACAGTTGCAATTAACATTGTATTAAAAAAAATCCTTTTATTTTTTTTCCACTCTCTATCAAGCCTCTTAAATTGTACCGCATGTATGTGAATATTACGTCTCCTATGAATCTGTCCCTACCGAACAACATCGTATATTTCCCAGATGTAATGACATAGAATGTCAATTTGGAATGTAAGCATACCTGGAGTTGTTATAGGAATCTATAGAGTACCATTGTCTTACCTTTTTGTAGTGTCCTGGAGACCAGTTTAACTAACTAATTTTAGAGCTGTCACGTCGCGTCCATAAGCAAGTTATTTTTCAAAATTTTTGAAAGTTAGAAGAACGAGAAAGTGTGCCTTATAGAGTAAAAATCAAACGAGAAGAAGCCACTGTCGTTAGCGCTGACAAAGAAAGCAGATTTCCTTTTCTCTGGGTCCCTCCCATTTAAAGTGAGACAAACGATAACGCGTGTGGCTTCTTCTCGTTTGATTTCTACTCTATCCATTAACGAGAAAATTATGATATACAAACATATGCAATGCTCTCGAATTTCAAAAAATATGGAAGCAGTTTTGAAAAATATAATATGTATTTTTTTAGCTATACGTTTCTAACATGAAATCTAGTTTTATTTTTATCAAATTACTTAATTAGTCATTATTCAATCAATGCCCTTACCTAAAGTTACGCTTATGACCTCGGTTAGATACAATATGCTGAAGGATTTGTTTCTATTGTATTCCGACTCTAAACGAGCCCTAACAGGGTGAGCTATATAGATCAAATAAAGAAAACCATTATTGGTGTTTTAAACTTGTCTAAAAATTCCAAAGAATATTAGGATATCTTGAAACTATATCCAATGTTGGGTTTTTCCAATAATTTTTACCTTGAACCAATAACAGGTATAAGTAGCTCCCCAACAATAAATAACCCTTTTCTCAATTCTATAGACTATGTAAATAGGGACATAACGTAGGTTTGGATTATTATATTCCTTGGCATTTTTAGATATAGATATTTACTTAAATAGAATTCTATACAGTAGAAATGTATGCAGGGTTTTCATTCCAAAACTTGCCACCCACGTTATCTGCGTAAAGAGGCATATTTGCGGAAATCGTCGAAACACATCAACAAATTCATTGAGGAGGAAGGTTTTTTACGTAAAACTGGACTTCCCTTCAACCCCCTAAGACCTAGGGCTACTTCCTCAAAATTTTCAAATGAAACAGAAGGGTCGAGTGATAGGTTATTTTAAAGGGCTGTTTAATCTGTACATTTTGCCGTTCTATTTTTTGAATTTGATCTCAGTGTTACAGAATATGTAATACCCATTTTAATGTTTAAAAATGCCTATTTATTTTTAAACACACTTGCTACTTTACTTACCTTTTTATCAGCAACAGGTAATTAAGCAGGTGTGTTTAAGGATGAATAGGCATTTTTAAACATTGAAATGGGTGTTTTTCTGCAACACTGAGGTCAATTTTGAAAAATAAGACAGCAAAATGTACAGATTGAAAAGCCCTTTAAAATAATCTATCACTAGACCCCCTGTGTCATTTGATTTTTTTTCCAATTATAAAACCTTGTTATAAACCAAAAACAGTGGACTATTGATCGGAAATTTTAATTTATACAACCATTATACAGGCTGTTTCGGAAAGGGTGTTACAAACCTCAAGGGCAGATAGTATTCATGAAAATATATGAAAAAGTTCCTATGGATATAGGTCCGGAAACGCTTTGTTTCCAAGATATCTATAGGGTGTTAAGTTTTTCAAAAAAAAATAGTTTTTTATTAATAGCCCAAAAGAGCTTCAGCCAATTTCAATGAAATTTTCACAGTTTATTTCAACCATTATCAAACATCTACTGGACCAATTAGATTTGATCCAGTTTTCCAGGGGCGTACCTAGTGACCAAGTCGATTGTTTTTGTGCAGAAAAAAAATATCACTCTGTGGTTTTTGTACGATTTTTATTGATTATTCAGATAGACGAACTAAAAATAAAACATTTTTGTCTCTTGAATTTTTCAATTATCTCGCTTCGTTTTCGCGAAAAAATTACAATACCATGCCTCGGCACGTCTCTGAACTCCATAAGGAAAGATAAAAATTCATAGGAATTAAGGTACAGGGTGTCCCAAATTCGAGGGTGACCATTGAGATATCGGAAACTATTAGATATACGAGGTTAGTTAAATTATGGCAAAGTTGCGCAATTTTATGACCATTAAAATGCCGTTTTGAAATTTGGAAAATTCCGAAGATATTCGGAAAAAACCGAAATTTTGCAAAATAATTTTTATTTTTTCCCGAGTCTAATTAGAGAGCAATATCAAAATAAATGTCACTTCAACGTTATGACTTTTTCCCCTTTACAAGATGTTGCTACCAAATTTCAGATTGCTGACTGCAACGAGCTATCGATATATCGATAGTTTCATTCGATAGTTTCCCACCTCTATTGTGGTCAAGGCGCAAGAATATAATATATCAGCTGACATATTATATCATGATATACAGGGTGTTGATTTTAAAACTTACTACCCCTATTATCTCGTTGTTGGAAAATTTCCGAAAAAATTCCTGAAATACGTCAACTATAATTTGAGGGGGATGAGTTTTTATTTAAAATTCACCTCCCCCTTCCAACCCCTCAGCCCTCAGAGCCACCACCTTGAAAATCTTAAATAGGAAGGTAGCCAAGTGATATATCATTTTGGAGAATTTTTTAATCCATAGATTTTGGTACTAAATTTTAATCCCTAAGTTCAACTGTTTTGGAAAAATTGACAATTGATAATTAACTTTTTTGCTACTTTGACAGGCTGTAAAAGCTAAACGGTTAATTTTCGAGGAAAACCGATCTTACATTCTTATCTTGAAATTTCATAAATTATCATTTTACACCAACTTTGAATTTAATCGGAGATTAAATTTTAAACCGGAATTTTGGATCATGGATAAAATGCAAAGTTGAAATCAAATGATAGTTTATAAAAATCTAAGACGATAATGTAAGATCGGTTTTCCTCAAAAATTAACCATTTAGGTTTTACAACTTGTCAAAGTAGCAAAAAAGTCGATTTTTAACTGGCATTATTTTCAAAACAGTTGAACTTGGGGATTAAAATTTAGTACTACCATAATATATGGAATTAAAAACCCCCTTAAATGATGTATCACTTGACCCTCTTTCTATTTAAGATTTTCTAGGTGAAGGCTTTGGCTGCTGGGGGGTAGAAAGGGGGGAGGTGAATTTTGCATAAAAACTCATCCCCCCTCAAATTATAGTTGACGTCAAGGGGTAAACCACCATCCCAGAATTTGTGCAAACAATTTCTCAAAGGCGAATTTTACACGCATAATTCCTCAAAATTCCTGCAAATTCCTCCAAATTTCCCATAAATTCCTCCAAATAGATACCCCACAAATTCCTCGAAATAGATACCCCACAAATTCCTCGAAATTCCCTGCAAATTCCTCCAAAGTCCCGCAAATTTTTCAAACTCCTTTCAAATTTCCCACGAATGTCTCTTAAAAATTCCCTAAAAATCTCCATAATTGCTCGTGATAAGAAAGTTATTTTTTCTATTTTTATTTTGCTTAGTTAAAATACAAGAGCAGTTTATCAAGTAGGATCGAGATTATTCGAGATTAGGATCCAATGCAAGGTAACGTTAGTTTACTTTAGAGCTAGAACTAATGATTGGTTTTCAGTAATCCAGAATGCAGGGGTTTGAACTAACCTAAACCCGCATTTGATATTAGGTCTGTTTCTGCAGAAATCACAACAGAGTGAATTTCATTGATTGAAACTAGTTTTCTAACTGTTTCTGACTGTTTTCGACCAATGAAATTCGCGCTGACTGGTTTGTGATTTCTGCAGAAACATACCTAATATTACCTAATTGATAAAAAGAAAACCTTTTTAGGAAATTAGAACATATATAATACATATACCAAAAATAATACACGTCATGTAGCTACTCTTTAAACAGCTTAAGTAGATGTATATTGTTTCACAATATTGAGGGTAGGTAGGTATATTGTTTCTTTTTATTTTAAATGGACCTTTTCCTAAAAGTTGCTCCGCAAATGAATGTGTCTAATTCCTTTTTCAATAATTTGGAAATAAGTACCTAAATCCTTTTTTCAACGTTCAGCCATTTTTCCATAATATGATGCTAGGATACATGCTCGGATTTGGATACCAGATAAACTTGTATCAGCTTCAAGTAGCTTAAAGTTCTTTTGCACTCCAGGGTCATTTTTAAGGAGATTTTGTACCTCTTCTGAAATCATAATCAATGCGCTTCTAAAGTTTATCCGATCTTCTAAAACAATTTCAGAACTAAGGAATAAATGTTCACTTTTATTATGTTATCAATTAAGTATCCAATTATTCAATTCAATTCAAATTTTTCCAGTAGGAAATAACATGAGGAATCTTGAAAATCAACCTACAATAACTGAACTAATTGAAAATACAGTCTCATACATTTCAAAGTTTTCCTGGAAAACTGGTGAAGGAAAAATTTTGAAAGTTTTTGCATGTAAAAAGGAAGGTGAGAGGCTCATTTTCCCAAAATTTTAAATTTTTCCAGTGGAAAATAACAACATAAAGAATCTTGGAAATCAACCTACAATAACTGAATTAACAAAAAATACTGTCTCACACAATTCAAAGTTTTCCTGGAAAACCAGTGAAGAAAAAATTTTGAAACTTTTGCATGTAAAGAGGAAGGTGAGAAGCTCATTTTCCCAAAATTTCAAATTTTTCAAGTAGGTAATAACAACATGAGGAATCTTGGAAATCAACCTTCAATAACTGAATTATTTGAAATTCAGTCTCACACATTTCAAAGTTTTCCTGGCAAACTAGTGGAAAAAAAAAATTGAAACTTTTTGCATGTAAAGAGAAAGATGAGATGCTCATTTTCCCAAAATTTTGAATTTTTCCAGTGGAAAATAACAACATAAAGAATCTTGGAAATCAACCTACAATACCTGAATTAATTAAAAATACTGTCTCACACAATTCAAAGTTTTCCTGGAAAACTAGTGATAAACGGAAAATTTTAAAACTTTTTGCATGTGAAGAGGAAGGTCAAAAGCTCATTTTCACAAAATTTCAAATTTTTCCAATGGAAAATAATATGAAGAATATTGGAAATCAACCCCCAATAACTGAATTAATTGAAAATACAGTCTCACACATTTCAAAGTTTTCCTGGAAAACTAGTGAAGGAAAGATTTTGAAATTTTTTGCATGTGAAGAGGAAGTTTAGAGGCTCATTTTCCCAAAATTTCAAAATTTTTTAATAGAAAATAACATGAGAAATCTTGGAAATCAATCTATAATAACTGAATTAATTGAAAATACAGTCTCACACATTTCAATTTTTTTCTGGAAAACTAGTATAGAGAAAATTCTGAAAATTTGGATGTAAAGAGGAATGGGAGAAACTCATTTTCCCAAAATTTTAAATTTTTCTAGTGGAAAATAACAACATGAAGAATTTTGGAAATCAACCTACAAAAACTGCATTAGTTGAAAATACTATCTGACACATTTCAAAGTTTTCCTGGAAAATTAGTGAACGGAAAATTTTTTTTGCATGTGAAGAGGAAGGTTAGGGGCTCATTTTCTCATAATTTCAAATTTTTCCATTGGAAAGTAACAACATTGTTATTATAGTCTCACACAAATCACAATTCAAAGTTTTCCTGGAAAACTAATTGAGGGAAAATTTTAAAACTTTTTGCATGTAAAGAAAAAGGTGAAAAACTCATTTTCCAAAAATTTCAAATTTTTCGAGTGGAAAATAACAACATGAAGAATCTTGGAAATCAACCTACAATAATTGGATTAATTAAAAATACAGTCTCACACAATTCAAAGTTTTTCCTGGAAAAATAGTGAAAGGAAAATTTTGAAACTTTTTGCATGTTAAGAGGAAGGGGAGAACTTCATATTCCCAAAATTTCGAATTTTTCTAGTGGAAAATAACATGAAAAATCTTGGAAATCAAGTTACAAAAACTGAAATAATTGTTAATGCAGTCTCACACAATTCAAAGTTTTCCTGGAAAACTAATTAAGGGGAAATTTTTGAAACTTTCTACATGTGAAGAGGAAGGTCAGAGAAGCATTTTCCCAAAATTTCAAAATTTTCCAATATGAAGAATCTTGGAAATTTATCTCCAATAACTGAATCAATTGAAAATACAGTCTTACACATTTCAAAGATTTCCTGGGAAACTAGTGGAAGCAAAAATTTGAAACTTTCCGCATGTGAAGAGTAGAAAGGTTGAACGTTCATTTTCTCAAAATTTCAAATTTTTCCAGTATAGAAAATAACAATATAAGGAATATTGGAAATCAATTTACAATAACTGAATCAATTGAACATACAGTCTCACAACTTTCAAAGTTTTCCTGGAAAACAAGTGAAGGGGAAATTTTGAAACTTTTCGCATGTAAAAAGAAAGGAAAGAATCTCATTTTCCCAAAATTTCAAATTTTTCCAGTGGAAAATAACAACATGAAAAATCTTGGAAATCAACTTACAAAAACTGAAATAATTGTTAATACAGTCTCATACAATTAAAAATTTTCCTAGAAAACTACTTGAGAGAAAATTTTGAAACTTTTTGCATGTGAAGAGGAATGTCAGAGACTGATTTTTCCAAAATTTCAAATTTTTCCAGTAGAAAATAACAACATAAAGAATCTTGGAAATCAACCTCCAATAACTAAATTAATTGAAAATACAGTCTCACACATTTCAAAGTTTTCCTGGAAAATTAGTGAAGGAAATTTTTTTAAAACTTTTTGCATGTAAAGAGGAAGGTTGTTATTTTGCCAGTGGCGCTTCAGAAGGCAATTTCCATTTTTCTTTTTCTACTTTTATTAACGAAATTTTATATATTTTCCTATTTTCTGACCACTCTGGACATGCTATTTCAAGTTTCAATAGTTTAATATGATTGTTGCAAGAAACAGAAACTTTTACAAAGAATAACTTTTTCGTAAAATTTATAATAAAAAAGTTTCCCATATGCTGCGAACTTAAGTGGACATACTGTATATCGGATATACAGTGTGTTTGGTAAATCGATAGAAATATTTCAATGGGTCAGCTGTTTGACCATATTTACCCTAATAACAAATTTCGCCTTTTTTTGAAGTATCGCCAATTTTAGATATTTTGAATCCATGTATTTTAATACATAACTTGGGCTAGGTACCTATATATTTTTTGTATCAATCATTCGGTTTCTCTTTCCGTATTTTTCTAAAGATTGCCTATTAGGAATATCGGAAAAAAAAATGAGAAAGGGTAAAGTGTTTACTACCAAAAAAACAATAACAATTCGAAAATATCTAAAAATGCTGAATATCTCAAAAACGACAAAACTTTGCATAAGGATAAATATGGTCAAACAACTCCCAAATGACCCCCCCTATCACTCATTGAAAGCTTTCTATCGATGTACCAAACACCCTGTATATCCAACATGTGATAAATATCATATTTCCATAGGATTGGGGATAACGGCTAGATTTTTTACGTTTTCGTCTTTAGATAGCGGGTAAAGCAGCCAAACAAGTTTATTTTTCTAAAATAATTCTTTATTACTAACCAAGCTTTCGATACTTTTTTGTATCTTCTTCAGGGCTAAAATTATATAAGTTAAAATTATAAAATTACAAAATTTTAGCCCTGAAGAAGATACAAAAAAGTATCGAAAGCTTGGTTCGTAATAAAGAATTATTTCAGAAAAATAAACTTGTTTGGCTGCTTTACCCGCTATCTAAAGAAGAAAATATCATATTTTCATTAAAAGCTCAATAACGGTTGGTTAGTCGGAAAACGAGCAACATCTAACGTGCAACCTCTATAAAACATCGCGAACAACCACCTAAAAAATGTTTTCTTATGTAAATTGACCTGGCGAATCCGATTGTGGAGTTCGCCAGTCGATCCTGGAATTGCGAGACTATAGGCCAAGCAATGAAGGAAGTTTACCTCAACATAATTAGAAGTTAACATTTTTTGGGGGGGATCGGTTCATTTTCATGTGCTTAATAACATATTAAGTTTGCGACCTTGTACTTCCATAGGGTTTTTAGTTAGGGGTGGTTTTTAGGGGTAATTTGCGGTTTATGGAGAACGCTGCACAAAGGGATGGTTCAATAGCAAAAAGTTTCAAATGAATGTTGTAGCTGAAGTTTTTTGCTATAAAAAACTCAGCGACAGCACCCTTCTATCTTCTATAGTTTTTTTTCTGCAGCGTCTTGAATACTAGCATGTTTTTATTCAAGGTCACTGAATCAACGTTTCACCTGTTCGCGCGCATTTTATACAGTAGCGGCCAAATGCATATAATCCGATTTCAATTTTTCAAACACCACATTATTGCTAATGAAATGCACTCTCCAATACTTTTTTGTTCGAATTTTTTGCTTGAAAATTAAGCGAGCACCGACTTGGCTAATGTGCGTGGAAGTTGTAAATTGCATCGAAAACTACCCCTTTCTTGCATTCACTGTAATTTCTAAACGGAGCGAAATATTTGGTGACAGTTTTCGACAATCGGCAGCCCATTTATTCCTCTCATATTGCCCCAGCGGATTTTTTTTTTCGTTAATTACTCGATGACTCATTGGCCTGAACACGTCGCGCGGAATTTTTCAAAAAGTCGATAAAAATCAAAATTGTCGCAGGGCGCTGAAATTTGGTACGATGGCTTTTTTTATTGTTTTTATGAATATACCGAAATTTTAATTGCTTCACATGACTGCTGCAACTACAGAGGCAAAAAAAAATTGAAATTGAACAGAAATACTTTAGCCAAAATTTGTAGAGAAGAATAGGACGAAAAACTGAAATTTCATCTAGTTTTCCACAGCAGAAACCTATTACTAGCTATTATATCGTCCTCATGGACTAGTTGATTTACCTTGCTATACCTATGGTTTGTTTTTTGCTAATAATGAAATTAAGTATCCCCTATCCTATCCCCATTATATAATTCACGTATTGGACTTTATAGACTGTGAGATAGGGGCTGTTTAGTGGAGTCATTTTTTTTTGTCTGGCATTTTGAGGGATGAATGCGGCTACTAAGCTGATGAGAATATGGGTGATTTTATTGCCGGCCTCCCGTTCGAAAATTTGCAGAAGAAAAAAATTGATTTACATGAGGATTTTTTTTTTAATGATCTCAAATTTTTTGGCTTCTAAATAAAAGATTGACATTGATAAATATTTCACTCATAAAAAATACCAGATGCTTTTCAATAGCTGAAAAAGTGGGGATGAGTGTCAACTTCCAAGAGAAAAGAAAAGAACCTTCCGTGTTTACTTTTTGTCTGGTAATCGAGAGAATGGAAGGTTTTGTTGTGAAAATATCGCTGAAAAATCGCCAGACGGTAATCTCAGTTCGAAGTCGAGTTTTCCGGCGCAACATTCTGTGGACATTTCGAACAGGTGGCAGGCATTAAAACCACCTATATTCTCATCAGCTAACCAGCCACATTCATCCCTCAAAATGCCAGACAAAAAAAAATGACTACTAAACAGGCCCTATCTCAGGGTCTATTATGTTACAGTATGAAATAATGACAGCGTCATTTTTCTGGTGTCTTACGTATTTTTATTGATGAAAAAATGTGGAAAATAATAAAGTGTGTTTTTTTTTTAAAGATAAAAGTCAAAATGACATTATGTGGCAATACAATGTAAAATTGTCAATGCTTTTGTAGCAAAACGCCCCAAGTACTCTATATAAATTGTTAGATGGTAAATGGCGAGCGGTATATCGATGGTGTTATTATATACTTGGAGCTTGCTATCTAAAATCTGTGGAGGAGGGTCTATTTGCAAGAGAGAGAAACAAACTGTACTAAATTATATTTTATTTCACATAAAACCCAAAAAAATTCAGCCAAAATATCTTCCAATACTTTACATCCTTCTTTATTTCTATAAAGTCAATACTTCACATCCGTTCTATATTGTTATTATACGGACCATTGAAATATCCCTACTAAATAAGAAACGCCCTATTCATACTATTTCTCATAAATTATAATTCAACTCATTTCACTACATCCAAATCATTCCTAATAACTATCCTTTACCTAGTCAAATAATTCCTTAAAATCTCTAAGTCCTTTACTTATGAAAACCCAAAATAATTACGTATTTGTTTATCAACTAATTTATTCTCATAAAATCTTACAATAACTTCTACTTGTAAAATAAACTCCCTAATTCAAAATTCCCTTCATGAACAATAAATTCTTTTAACAGCTTTCCCATATTCTAAGACAATTCTATTTCATGGACAAATTCTAATATAAGTTTCCTTTTAACAAGTTTCCAATATTTCAAGAAAACAATTCTATTTTATGACATCAAATTTCTTTTCAAAATTTCCTATTGCAGTTAATAGTTGTATCAGAACAATTCTATTTTTGGATTCCTATGCCTAGCTAATAAATACAACTGCTTAATTCATAATTCCAACATTTCCAACTCAAAATAGTATATTGTTAAATGCATTATAAGTACTCTTCATATTCTCTTTTCACCATTAAATGTCATTATATCTGAAGGTAATTAAGTTTTGCAATAATGTTCCATTTATAAAACACTCGAGTTATTACTATTTAAGGCAATAAAGTTCCACTGTTAAATTAAAAGTCAAAAGTTTTTCTAGTAATACAATCCTCAAGTTTATAAATTCATAAGTATTTCTAGTAAAAATCACTCAGTTTGTTTTTATGCAATGAAAGTCAGAGTTTAATCACACAAAGTAATGTTCATCAAAATAAATCTTGTCACTATAAAGTACTTACATTTTGTCCATAAAACACACGTAAAATTACTTAATTAATTACTCAAAATATTTAGCTAGCACGCACATAAATTATTGAACGAATTTCAAATGTTATTACTTTCACGATTTTTCGTAAATTTTCTAAGTTAAATCATACCCGAGGCAGAACGCCATAAAGGTAACTTTTCGCGAAACTGGGCAGACTTTACCTCAAACTGGACTGGACTGTTCTCAAGTGGCAACTATCTAATGGCAACTGAAACCGTGGTTTTTATATCTTCCCCCAAATCGTCAACAGGCGGTCATTTGCCTAGCAATCCGACACTTCCATTGGCCAAGCTAATTATTATTAAAATAATGATGCAATTTCCTTGGAATTTTACATCATTTTAAGCCTGAAATCAATTAATTATGTCGCAATAATCTGATTTATTGAGGTCAAAACGTTATTGGTTCAAGAATGCCATATATCATCAAATTAATTAACATGCTGGCCTTGCTAGAAAAAAAGTTCATTGATCGGATTTTTGATGACACACATCCTGTGTGTCGAGATACGTCGCGTTAATTTGTTTTATTTTAATTTATCGATACAGATTTAAAAATACCGGAATTAAATTTTGATTATTTGATAAAATTCAATTTTTACAGTAAAGACTTTGTAATTATCGGGTCAAATTTCTGGATCATCACACTTTCAAATTTTTTATGTAAAAAAGGCTTGTGTTGCCAACAT